CAGCTTCTCGTATCTGGCACATTAATCTGCTGTTAAGTGCCATCAAATCAGTTCAGACTGATAGTGGACCTTTATAGGCTTCTGAGAAGCAGCTGGTGGGTTTGAACTGTTCACTTTGTGGTTAGCTCCACACCAGGACTCTCCTAGAATCCTTTAATATTGCAAGCAGAGACTTGAATTTTTCTTTCAGTTCTTTTAACTTGAGAAATGCTGAGTGTGTTCTTCCATCATGGCTTTCTAACTCCAGATCTTTGCACATTTCATTATAATACTTGACTTTGTCTTTTCAAGTTGCCTTTTAAAATTTTTCAGTTCAGCTCTTTTACTACTTCATTTTTTCCAATCTTTTTAGCTTGTCTAGACCAATGAGCAAGTTTCAAAGTCTCTTCTGACATCCATTTTGGTTTTTTCCTTCTTTCTTGTCTTCTTAATGACCTTTTGCTTTTTTCCTTGTATGGTGTCCTTGATGTCATCCATCAAATCTTCGGGCCCAAGGTTATTACTGTCTAATGCATCAAATTTGTTCTTGAGTTGTTTTCTAAATTCAGGTGGGATGTAGTCAATGTCATATTTTGACTCTTGTGGACTTGTTTTAATTTTCTTCAGCTTCAGCGTGAAATTGCATATGAGCAACTGATGGTTTATTCCACAGTTGGTCCCTGATCTTGTTTTGGTGATCTTATTGAACTTGTTCACTGTCTCTTCCAACTAATGTAGTCAATTTGATTTCTATGTATTCCATCTGGTGAGGTCTAGCTGCATAGTTGCCTTTTATGCTGTTTTAAAAGGGTCTTTGCAATGAAAAAGTCATTGGTCTTGGAAAATTCTATCATGCAATGTCCAGCCTCATTTCTATCACACAGTCATATTTTCCAACTGATCCTTCCTCTTTGTTTCCAACCTTCCCATTCCAATCACCAGTAATTATCAATACATCTTGATTACATGTTTGATCAATATCAGACTGAAGAAATTGATAGAACTCTTCAATTTCAATCATAACTAGATTTAGTGATTGGTGTGTAAATTTGAATAGTGGTATTAACTGGTCTTACTTGTAGGCTTATGGATATTTTCTATCCATAATTGTACTTCAAGATAGATCTTGAAATGTTATTTTTGATGATGAGGTTATGACAGTCCTCTTCAATTTGACATCTCCAGCATAGTAAACCATATGATTGTCGGATTCAAAATGGCCAATATCAGTCCATTTCAACTCACTAATATCTAGGTTATCTATCTTCATGCATTCCATTTCATTTTTGACAGTTTCCAATTTTCCTAGGTTGTTACAAACTACAATTACCAATGGATATTTGCAACTGCTTCTTCTCATTTTGTGTTGTGCCCCAACAGCAAATTAAGATTCGGAAAGCTTTGCTGAATTCATGTCAGTATGATTGACTCTACTCTGTTAAGGCAGCTCTTCCTCTGTTGTAATTTGAGTTCCTTTCAAAAGATGAGGGACTCATCTTCTGGCATTATATGTGACAATGTTCCACTGCTATTCATAATGTTTTCATCTTCTGGCACGGTATCTGACAGTGCTCCACTGCTAGTCATAAGGTTTTTAGTGGATAATCATTCAGAAATAGGCTTCCCAGTCTATCTTAGTCAGGAGGTTCCACTGAAATCTATACAACTTGAATAAACCTGCTAGTATTTCAAATACTGGTGGAGTAGCTTCCAACAACACGGCAACACACATAGGACAAACTGAGAGACAAGAGGTAGCCCTATATGACAAAGTAGAAATGACTTATAGAGTTGTCTATGCTGTAATCTTTATGGGAGCAGATCACTATGTCTTTTCTCAAGCAGAGCAACTGGTAGTTTTGAACCACCCACCTTTCAATTAGCAATGGTGCATTCAGTTATTATGCCTCCAAGGCTCATTACCCAACAATATTACAAGCACCTCATTTACTGTGGAGTCCTGGTGTGGTGCTGTGGGTTAATGCACTGGACTGCAAAGTCAGTTGGAATCACAAAGTAGGTTGTTCAAGCTCACCAGCCACTCCTTGGAAACCCAATACAGGGTCGCTCCAACTCAATGACACTAACAATAACTTACTGTGTTACATTTCTACTTAAAATAGATAGAGTGCTTTCTGTTTCCCACAAGTGAACATTAACTTGACAGACTCACTACTCATAATGTTCTCACTACTTGGAGAGGGGCAACTTCACACTTTATTGTTGTATGAGTTTTCAGCTAGAGAATTGCACTTATGCAAAATACTGTTTTTAACCTTTTAAAAACTGTTGTATGAATGATGGTTTCAGTAAAAGAGATAGTACCACTACACAGAATGCATGTTTAAGGTAATGTGTTGCTGTTGATATTGTTTTGCACTGAGTGTGTTCTGATTCAAAATGACCCTGTATAGTGTTTCTGATGCCTGGTGGATTTGAACCGCCAACCTTGCAGCTAAGTGCCATACCAAGCAATGTAAAAGGAAGTTAAAGCTTGAAGTGGTGTTAGGATAATTGAGTGAGGCTTGGGAGGAGTATCTGGGAGGTACAAACAGTTAAGTTACTTGTCTGTTTGATGGAGTCCACACAGAGGCACCGTGGCAGGGAAGACCTGGTAATCTGTTTCTGAAAAATCAACCATCGAACACCCAGTTCTACTCTGACACACACA